TAAATAAAACATTTTAAAATTAGAAACTAATTCATAACATCTTATAAGTCAAAATTCTTAAAACTTTCAATCTTACTTTTCTTTAATCATTTCATTAACATTTCATTCCTTTCATAATTATTTTCTTTCATTTTATTCATATGCAATTCAGATGCAAAAATACTTATGTCATATGTATACACCCACCCCGAAAGTACCCTTTTTCGTACTGATTAGGTACGCAGTCAAATTTTGGTCATTTCTTTTACCATTTGGCTTTTACAAGCCCCATTACCATTTGGCTTTTGTAAGCCCCTTTACCATTACCATTTTGGCACTTCTGGATCAACATGCAACATGAAAATTTTATTCCATTTAAATTTTTTAATTTCCGTTCAATTTTCTTTCATAAGCCTCATATATTTTCATGCCCAAATGCTTTTCATATGTTCATATGCTTTCCAACAGTTAATGCAAAAATATAAAGACATAAACTTGCAGAATCAATGAATTTAAAATATTAATTAACAATAAAAATATAAAGACATGAAATTTCATTAAACATAAAAATGTTAAAACACTTATAAACTTAACTGGGATCTGAACATCTACCTCAAACCAAGTACGACATGTCGCTTCGACCAAATTCTTTCACCTTAAACTTTAATGGTCAGAACCTAAACAGTTTACAAAAGAGATGTGTCACATAATTTAAAAATCAAATTTTCTAAGTCTAATTGCTAAACCCGACATTTTCTCTTAACCATTCCTTACGACATTTAAAGGATAATTAATTAAATAAACCTAAATTTTCGGATTAAATAAATACTAAAATTTTAAAAATTCATAAAACTCCAATTTCATCAAATTATCGCTCCAAACTTAATCCTAAACAAATAATTATAATTATATTATAATTTTCGGATTAAATAATTTAGGAAATTAAGAAAAATAATTTTTTTCCTAAAAATCAAAATTTTCATCATTAAAGCATTCCTTATACCCTAAGGAATAAAAATTGTAAAAAAAAGATTTTGCTTTAAAAAAACAAAGATTATGAAAAACCCTAATTTACAAATCTCCAAATACTTTTGCGAAATAAAGTCATTTCCACCGTTAACATATATCCCTAATCCTTCCCTATTGATTTCGTAAAGAAATTTCAACGTTTTCTAAAACCCTAAACTTTTCTCTTCCAAAAATTGAGAGATCGAGAGGGATTCGTTTGAAAATAATCATACCTGAGTGTTTCTCTCGTCGTCCCCTTCGATTTGAACTATTTTTCTCGCCGGAAGATCGTCACCGGAACGCATGTCGCCCCTTGCCCGACCGCCCTACCGTCCGCTCCCTCTCTCTTGTTTTCGGTAATTCACGCGTGAAATGAAGAGGGAGGGGTTCGGGTATAGCCTATTAAGGGAAATTGGGTTTGCTAAAAGTCTAAAATGCCCTTACTTAAATAAATCTAGACTTTTAAATGATAGGGGTAGAGTTGTCCTTTTGAAACTTTAATCTATTTTAATTCCTAAAATAAACGAAATTAGGTATAAGTGTTATATACCAAAACGATCAGAATTTCGTAAATGAAAAGGAACAATCAATGAATGACATGCTTTGTAAATGAATTCTGTAATTTTTCATGTTTAGGGACAATCTTAATGTGCGATAGACCCATTAGAATTTTGTTTGATACTGGAACGTCACACTCCTTTGTTTCAAAAGAATTTGTTAGATCAGCTAATTTGCTTCCTACCTTTATGTTGAAGTCTCTATCAGTTTTAATGCCTAATGGGAATCATATGGAAGCTAATCAAAATGTCAAGTGAATTTGAAGATTTGTGATAAGAGTTTAGAAGCAAATATGATTGTATTGCCTTTGTTTGAGTTTGAAGTTTATTAGTGGCTCTTTCATGTATTTTGGGATGATATTTATGTTCTGACCTTAAGTTTTAAATGAAAATATGTTATGTATTATGCTCTTTCGTACGACCGATTGTTCCCGCCCCGATATAATCGGGCTAGCCGGGCCGGGTCGTGACATAAACCACCATTAAAGATTATCCATCATTGTTTGTTTGAAATTTTTATTTTTTGATTAATAGGATCCTTTAACAAAATATGCTCTTCAAACTCTATATATCATTAATATTACAACTCCAAAGAGAAGGTCAAATCCCAGGGTCAATCAAAACATTATCATTATCAATCTTTACATGTTATTTCCTCGTCAAAAACTGATTCATTTAAATTATTTAATATTAAATGAAAAAACATAAGTTTATATCGAACTTATGTTACTAATGGATTATTTACATAAGAAAATATAATGAATATCCTAAATCAATAAGAAATATATATTTTCTAATTATAATAACTCAATAAATAATAAATTCAAAAAGTCACAATCAATTTCAATTGCCCACTTCACTCCAATTAATTCATAATTTATAATCAATTTCAATTATCCGAGTGCTAATTGAGCCACATTTCATATATAAAGACATCTATTGAATTACAATAAGTTCTCATATTTTTAAAGTACGTATAATGTATCAAGAGGAATAAAAAGGGGTGTAATACATAGTTTTAACCTGGGAACTATGGTGGCAATGGCCAGGGCACAGTTATGATTGGAGTGCTTGCATGAGTGTGGTCACATCCTAGGAGCTAGGATGGCATGAGAGCAAAGAAGGTCAATAGTTATGGTCGGAGATGCTCAAAAAGGAGGCCATGAATGTTCGATGACATCTAAAGGAGAAGTGGAAAGGGGCAGTGCAAACTCAAAAAAAGAAATGGCTTTTGTAAACTCAATTAAGGAAGAAAAAGATTATCGTTTCCTAATATGAGGACCAAATATTAAATGTTTTGTCCTTCAACCCAAAATTTTAGCTACTAAATTTTTTTTTGCAAAGAGAATTTGGGGGGTAAATGCTCATTAAAAATAATGATTCTTTTTTAAGCTTACATGATACATTATTGGTCTTTTTTTTCTTAAGGATTGTCAAGTGTTTGAAGTGAGGAAGAGAGAGGGGGGAGGAGACTTGTTAAAAGTGGTATCTTGGTGAAGGGAAAAATACTAGGGTGGGAAATTGCCAACCCTAACGTAAGAATAATTCATAACCTACCCTTTAAAACTCTAATTTGCATTTCCCCACAATCCTTATAACTTCTCAAAGCCTCAACTCCAAACTAACCAGAAATTAAAATAGCCAAAAGTCCAACAAAGAGAGATACTTTCCTGCTATAAGCAACAACATAAAAAAATTAACTTCTTAACTACTGATTTGAAACCCATAAAAAATATCTTTATTAATTTCATAACATCTCAAACCTTTGATCTGAAGTTCTTCACCTGTTTCCTCCAAGAAAAATTTACCCTTTCAAATCCTAGAGGTTTCGATCTCAAATCAATCCTAAACTCTAAATACTCATTTTCCTACTACCAACAGAACCCTTTCACCACCTCCCCAAGAGAGCATCAATCAAACTATTGCCTTCACCTTTAAGATCCTATAACCCTATATCACTTCCACACTTTCTTAGAACTACTTATCAAAGATGGTGAGGCTAAAGACTCTCTAAGCTTCACAAATGCCTCTAAACATGTATAGGTCTATCTACATTTTTTTATGTTCCATAGTAATTTGAATGGTGTGCATTTATCATATATTAACAATCTCCATACATTGGTTGTTGCCTATGGGGACAAAATCGCTAGCATTGGTATGGCTTGTTTAAACTTGTAAGGTGGCCTAACAATCTCCATATATTGGTTTTTGTATACCGCCTTCTGAGGGTTAGCTTTTGCTCCTTAATAAGTCATGAGATAACGAGGAAACTAGCACATACTTAGTGGGATAAAGCTTGATTTTGTGTTGCCTTAGAGTTATAAACTTACTTGCACATTAGCCAAGTATGCTTCCTTTTCATAGGTAAATCATCAACAAACACCTTGATATTCTTATCTTTCTACAACTGAAAAGTATTATCCATCATGTTGTAATATATAGCTTCACCATTTTTTAGCCCAAAAGGCATTACATGATAGCTGTAGATCCCACCAAGCATAATAAAGCTCATTTTTATTTCATATGTTGGGTGCATTTTAATTTGATGAAATTTGAAAATGCACCAATAATAAAGCTCATTTTTATTTCATATGTTGGGTGCATTTTAATTTGATGAAATTCGAAGAAGCATCAACCAAAATGATAAGCCTGATTTTGCATCATCAATCCAAGATAACAGAAAGCAATCTTCAAACAAACATCATTCAAGCAAGCAAAATCAACACACAACATCCATTTGGCATTGCTTTTATCAACAATTATCACATTTGAAAACCAATTTGGATGCTTGTAACAAAGTTGACGCTATCAGCTTATTCATTTTCCCTTTTATTTACAATTGCATATTAAATCAGTGATAGTGCACCTCCAGGCTAAAATTTGGCATTTCTAAATGTTTACATGCAAAAACATCCAAATTCTTTCTTAAAATCATTGGTAGTTCGCGGTTTCAACATGCAGATCTCATTGTTAAGTGGATCAGATTTTTAACAAAAGACCATCTGAATCTTGGCTTTCACCTAAAGAAGCCAAAAAGGGGTTTCTCAAAGGTTCACGAGTTCTTAGAATGAAACATGTATAGATGATTTAGAAGATTGCGACCCTTCAAAAGATGGGAACTCGGCAACAGCCTGTAGTCTTTGTAAGGCTTTTCGTTATTTTTCATTTTTTCAATCGTCGATTTTTTGTTGTAAGAACCAAAGTGTTGAGCTCGAACATAAGTAAATCATGCAGAGTTAAATCACCAACTGCAAAACTGCCCATAAGCGCAACATGAAAACTCCAAATCCAAGAAAAAATATAAATTAAAAAAAAATAAAACTAGACTAAAGTCTAAAACCTGAGAACATCGATTAATTTATAACGCAAGAACTGCAAGAGCAAAGCCTCAATAATCCACGGCATGATCTCTTAAAAAAAAAAAACATAGTAGACATCCAGAAGTTAAGAGAATACTGGCAGCATGCACTGGAAGAGCAACAATGGCGTGTCCTTTGGCAGTAGCTGCCAGGCCATTGTAGAGCCAGGGCGAAGTAATCAAATTCTCGCTGCGCCATCGCCTCCCCGGAGGCGTTAGCAGAGACGACGTCGCCTCTTGCAGCGGCGGCGTCGACGATGACAAGTACAAGAAGACATAGAGAATGGGCTTGAGCGTTGTAAGCCTTTCTGGCCATGGCTTTTCTCCGCGCTTTTGGGAGGCAGTTTGCGGATTTAGGTTATTTAAAGATCTTGCAAAGCAAGGGAGAGTTTAATTAAAAGGAACAATTATTAGGTCCTCCCATCGGACCTAGAGAAATGTCCGGTCGGCACTAAAATCTTGCCAAAAAATTTGGTATTTGCTCGGTATTGCTAGGTATTATTTGGTAATAATCAGAAATATCATTTTGTGAAGACCAATACCGAGTTATACCGAGCAATACCGAGTTATACAAAAAAATACCGAGTTTTTTCTAGGAAAAACTAAGTATTTTTTTGTATAATTCGGTATAGCTCGGTATAACTCGGTATTTGGTCTTCACATGATGGCATTCCTCGTTATTGTTTGGTGTTGCTTGGTATTTGCTCAATATTTCTCATTTTTTGACGTAACTTTAGCTCCGACTGGACGTAGCTCTACGTCCGGTCGGATGACCTAATAATTGTTCAAAAGACACTTCTAAGGAGTGAAATTGTTTTTTTTTTTTTTATGCAAGTTCCTGACATTTTTATTTATTTTATTTCATAGAAATAATTTTGACTCTCGAAAACCTAATGTCAAAGAGACAACTAGGTCATCCTCTAATCAAGCATGCAAATGTCTAAAGCACACCAATTAGATTTGTGTAAATTAAAAGTTCCACGTGTGTATAAATCAAGAATTTGAAATTTCGATCATGTTTAGGGGTCAATCATCTTATTCTGTAACTAAGGGTTTCAATTTTCAATTGTAATAAAAAATATGATTTATGAAAAGTTTGGCATTTTTTTAAACTTCATTTAATTTTTGGATTTATCATGAACTTAATTGCATTATTTTATTTTTATAGATTTAATTATGACTTTTCAATTATTACAAGTAGAAAAAGATAAATTATGAGCAACACTCATACAACATACGCAAGAGTCAAACCTATGTCATCTTAGTTGGAAGTCAACAACAAAACCAAGGAGAGTTGCATAGATTACAAGTAGAATTTTTTTTTTAGATTACAAGTAGAATTTTTTTTTTTTTTTAGATAACAAGTAGAATTTTTTTTAAGCCAAATAATTTTTATTCTATAAAAAAGGAACATACAACCATAGGCCAATAGAGGCAAAATTACAAAAGAACAAAGCTTATAATACCACAATAGGCGACAGATTGCTTTGCAATCTGAAATTGAAAGATAACCCAAAATTGGAGAAAACAAATAATGGCCTGAAGCTAGTCAGACTCAGAATCATTATCCAGTTGTCATGCTTTGGACAATCCATTGGAGGAAGATAATATAGCAGCCAAAAGTCCCAAATACAAAAGCCACCATTCACCACATAGATGAAAGAACAATCAAACAAGCTCCAATCTTTATAAATTTTGGACCTCATGTCATCAATGAACTAAATCCTGATCTCACAAAATTTGAGCTCATTTGGAGTGCAATTGAATTTTTAATTATTTATTAAATTCCATTCTAAATTTATCCTTCCAAAATTAAAAATATATGTTCTAGGCTTTAGTATGACTTGCAATTATTTATCTTATGTTCTGTGATGCATTTAAATTTTTTGAAAAAAATAATTTTGTATTTTTAATATTTTTATCAAATTTTTATTGAATTATTGAAATCCCTTATGTCTATTGTTTTTTTTTTTTTACCTAATTTCTCCTAAGATTAGGGTTGGATAGTTTTCTAGACAAATGACTTCAAAATCTCATGAAATAAATTCCATAGGTCAATAAATACCTCAAGACCATTCCATGAAATTTTCAAATAATTTATAATTGAATTAAATTTTCTAAAATTTCCTAATTTCACTTACACCAATAGTTCAATTATTTGCTAAGGCTCTAAAGAGAGAGTTATGACTGAAAGAATTTTTTAGAATGCTAATGATTTAGGGCTTATATTTAAATATTTAAAGTATTTGGCCCTCAAATCAATTTTGGTGAAATTTGAATGCTCTAGGTCATTTAATGACATAGATATTTAAAAAAACAATTGGAGGGTTAATGATACATAAAATTGATCTGAGAAAATCCAAGGATCTCCAGGCATCCCAAAAACCTATCAAATGAATTTGAGCATTATGAAATATGTTTAAGAGGAATAATCATCTCATTAGCCCTATGCAACAATTAATTTATATAGTGCACATGTTTAGAAAAAAAAATTTTAATTTTTTTAAAAAAATATTCTACATGTTGAATCCATAGAGGGATCATTCCTAATTTTTGGATTTAAATTAAGTAGATATAATTTTTCAAAATTTGAGATGATTTTTTTAAAATTAATTAAATTTTTATAATAGACTTAATTAATTCCCAACTGAGTCAAGAGGCACTTTATGAGCGTTCATTGCTTGATTGGATTCTATTAAAAGGAAGGGGTCCCACATTACATGTCATATTAATTTAAACCATATGTTAATATCAAACAGTTTAAATTAAACAAGCAAAAATTGCATGATAATAGTGTAGATAACTATACAACTACATTATGACAAACTATTTCATTTTAATGAAATAGATGGTGGTGTCATCATCTTCTCTCTCCTACTATTGATGGAACCCATTCAACTTCATTGATATGATTCAAAGAGATTTGTGAATGGATCTCTATCAAATTGGTCATGAAGGATTAGGAGGGTAGGAACTTGCAATCCAATGGTAGGATTTCATTGGATTGTAAGTTTGCTTCGTAAATTCTCAAACCTCATCGTTCATATGATAAAAAAAGTTGTGTACGTATTAGATGGTTTTAAAATATGATTGATGCTTGTTTTGGGTTTGTTGGACTTCCAAGAACACATACATTTTCTAAAGGTGTCAAAGGCTCAAGGTGTTTGAATCGAAAGTTAGATTCAAACAGTGGATAATTCTTCAAAGCTCTATCTATATACTCACAGAATAGGGTTTGAGGTTGAAATCACTCATATGCATAGTGGAGAAGCTAAATATGCGACGTTCATGCCCTATTTTTAGTCCTAAGGGACCTATTTATTGAATTTTTAATTTTGTACCTTAATGGAATTCTAGCCATTGTCGATAGTTATAGCTGGCCAAGGTGGTTAAGGATGGGTTAATAGGGTGCGTTTAGATAGCTTTATTAGATATAACTGTGTATTATTTTTAGCAAATAACAATTGATGTATTTGAATATTTTAAAATGTTTATAGAATGCATTCAAAGAGAACAAGATAACCTTATTTATAGAATTCAAACAAATCATGGTGGAGAGTTTATGAATAAACATTTTACATATTTTTATGATAAGAATAATACTAGACATAATTTCTCTACACTTAAGATTCATCAACCAAGTATAGTTTTAGAAAGAAAGAATTGCTCCATAATAAAATTAGGAATGTCTATGCTCAACGAATATAAGTTACTAAGTATTTTTTGGTAGAAGCTATGAACACTGCATGTTATATGATGAATAGGGTTTACATGAGACCAATTTTAAAGAAGACCTCTTATGAATTATTCTTTGGAAAGGAAAAAAAATTGGTCACTTATTTTTTGATGTATTTGAAAACTTTTAACCTTGTGATTAATTGTTTGAATGTGGTATAAATACTTTAAATGTAAAAATATTCTAGATGTTCAGAAAGAGCATAAATGACTAAAGTGAAAGGTATGTCCATGTTGAGACAAACTACTTTGAAAGGAAGGAAGGGGTTGGGTGCATGTGCATACCCAATGCCAAAAGCGTTCATCCTCAAAGTGTGATTAAACACTAGAATAATCTAGTCAAAACTATATGACTATTTTAAGGTAGAAGTCAACCAAATGTTCTATGATTAGATCTAAATGGGTTTCTTAAAAGGGAAGGCCATTATGTTTAGGGAATAGTATAGTCAAATGAGTATGAATCTTTTGGTGGACGGCTTAGTCAAAATATCATGGATAAGAAAAAGATAATCCTAACCATGAGTTATTGGCTAGACTAGGAGGTGTTCTAGTCAAAAGATCAAAACCAATCGAGTAGTATAGTTAAAAGAGTTTGAAAACATTGCGGAAGAACTTAGCAAAAAATGCATGGCCAAATTAGAATGTTTCCCAGTCAATAGAGCATGGATAAACTCTAATTTAAGATCTTAACCCAAATCCTTGATTTTAGTATTAAAAGTAGCTTTCTTGCATGCATGCATTATACCTAAAAATTATAGTTTTAAAATTATATGCTTATGTGGTTAGCTAACAGCACACTCTAAGTGAGCATAAGCCCAGATGCATGTGCACCTCTCAAATTTTCTTTTGAGAGGATTATCTCAACCTTTAAATAAGTTTTATAAACTTTAATTTTTTTTTCTAAAATTATTTATTGAAACATTTACATCTTTAGACTAAATCTGTTAAATTTTAAATCTAACATAAGTCTAATCTCCACTTCAATCATAAGTTTTCTCTTCAGAGATGTAATTAATTATAGATGTTTGCCTCTATAAGAGCCCAAGAACCTAGTTTAAAATAAAACCTATTTTAGTTCGCTAGAGCAAGCCAACAATCTTTTGGATGCTGATTAAAGTTTATCCTTGGTTAATTTCATTTTTAGAATGATAAACGAATTTTTTTCTTATTCCTCAGGATGAATTGCAAATTCCTTACGATATGTTTAATAATTAAGTAAATTTTATTTCCCTTTTCAGGTAGATAGTGAAGCATTAGTTTGTCTTTTGAGATAGTATCATGCTAACTGTGTGAATTTGATTAAGAAAACATAAAGGGAATCAATGACACATTTGTTTTTCTACACTTGATAAGTAAAATATGGCAGTGTCTTGATTTGCCCTAGTTAACATCAAAGAAAATTATGATTCAAAGTCTATTATCTTAAAAACATAACTTATACTTTAAAATAAGCCATTTGCATATGATAGAAGGTGAATCACCATAACTAAGTGAGATGAATTTCTCTCTATCTAAAAAATATGCAAAAAAAAAATCTTCAAATCACCAAAAAATCAAAAGGAAAATGTTAAAATAACTAGTAAAGACTTGATGGATTTAGCATCCCAAATTATTCAGCTTGAAACCACTTAGCTATGAAAGTGTTTGATGCAACC